CGGCGGTAATGCCCTCACTAAATTTGCGCTAACTTTTTGCATCGTCAATTTTCATAGCATGTCTTTATTATGCTTGTCGTGTCATTTAATTTGTAGAATTGTCAATGTTAAAACTAAGTTTATGATCTACAAGTGAAATATCATAGTTAGATTTTACAATCGAATATCCTCAATTTTTAATGGCTTACTTTCCTTAATTTCGTATACATGTGTTATGCAAAAAAGTTGCATGACATATAAATTTCTTCATTATATAGTACATGTGTTAAGGCTAAATTATCAGATTGGTAAATTTTATTAGCCTTAAGTAACAATTTGATATATTTTTTTACTTCAGTGATAATAAGATATATAAAATGGAACCTAATGACAATAATGTTGGATTTAATCTAATAAATCTAATTATGGGCACATATGATTAATCAATGTGTATTGCTATCTTTTAGGATAACCCACTAAAGTGATCAATCAAGTTGGGTTAATGGGTATTTAAATAAGTCATGGGGTTATATGTGCAGATACCAAGTTGTAATTGTGATTTGTTGAGGGGCCAAATTACAAAAATACAACATCTATAAATAAGGGGTTATGGTCCCTAATCTAGGGTTACATTCTCTAATTCTCTTCACCTCCATCTAGAGAGAAATTCGGCTATAGAGAAAACCCTAAGGTTAGAAGATCCAAAACTCATCTCAGGTTCATCTATGGATTCAGGTATAAGCTTCCGCTCTTTATGATTATTGTTAATCTCTTCGAATTAATCATGACTTTATGATTTTAGATCTCAAGTTTTTATTAGATCTAACAAATAAGACCTATTTTTTTGGCTGGAGCAAAATTTGCGAAAAGATCATCTCATATGACTTGTCACGTGCATCGTATATGACTTAATTGGGCTCGTGAGTCAAAGGTCAAGCAAGATCTTTTAACTAATTGTTATTTTTAAAAAAATCCGCAAAATGTTCTCCCTTCTCTATTTTCTCTGATCATGTGAGGGAGAGGACGATTCTTTATAAAATTCCTTAGATTTCCTAACTCAGTTTCAATTACTTTAATTCAAATTTAACTCTTTTTTTTTGGTAAATGAAAATTTTTATTTCATCTCCAAATATGAAAGTTGTATTTACATCAATGATCTCAATGTGAGATATACCAGAAAAAGAGTAGCTAAAACTCAAAAAACAGAGCTATAGCCAAGAAACTGAAATTACAAATAGGAAACAATAGCCCTATTTATGTGAACAGATTCCAGCAATCTCAGTGGAGATCTGAACCTGTCATTCCATATCCAGCATCCGTGCACGTCTGTGCATGCTCTACAATGAATGGATCCAGGCAACATTTTCAGAGGAGATGTTTGAGTTCAGAAGCACTGTCATGATATCAACTTTAATACCATTTACTAGATGTTCAACTGACCTGTTTTTTCCCTGAAATACTCTCATATTCCTCTCAGTCCAGATTGCATAAATGGTGGCTGACAGAGCCATTCTTTTAACCCTTTGTTTAATACCTCTTCCTTTCAATCTTGAACTGAACCAGTTTATCAAAATCTCCCAGTGGCATGATCTCCAAGAGAATTGAAGCCAATCCATTATACAATTCCATACATCACTAGAATAAGCACACTCAAAGAATAGGTGGCTTCTGCTTTCCTGAAAAGAAGCAGTACATAAAGTGCAGTGATTTGTATTTATTATACCTCTTCTTAACAGTCTGTCCTGGGTATTCAATCTGTTATTGACAGCTAACCAGCTAATGAATGAGTGTTTAGGATAGCATAGGCTCTCCCATATTGTATTGTGCCATTGGACATTACTGCTGGCTGGATTTAAAGCATGGTATAGTGCAGATAATTTCAGTTTTCCCCCCTTGTAGCAAGAACCAATCAACTGAATGAGGTTTCCTACTCCTCCACAGAAATTCAGAGCCTTATCCCTTGCTTTGATTAATTGTTTCCACATCCAAGAGTCTCCCGATCTTGCTTTAACATGCCAGATATCTCTTTGCTTCAGATAGGTACCATGAATCCATTTAATCCACATTAATTCCCTATTAACATGAATATTCCATAAATTCTTTAAGGCAGCTGCAAGATTCCATATTGAAGCAGAGAAAATGCCAAGGCCACCCTGTTTTTTACCCATACAAACTCTGTCCCAGGATACTAAGGGGATTTTGGATGTTAGATTTGAACTCCCCCACAAATAATTCCTGCAGATTTCATCTATTTTCTGTGTTACTTTGACTGGTAATAAGTAATTTGAAGTCCAATAAATCTGAACTCCCAAGATGATGCTCTTAATCACTTGTAATCTGCCAGCATATGTGAGTTTCCTGTGCTTTTGCCATGTTTGTATTTGACTAGTAATCTTGTTTAAGAGAGAATTACAGTCTTCATAAGACAGTCTTTTGCATACTAGAGGAACCCCCAAGTATCTTATAGGGAAACATCCTTCAGTCAAACACAGTTGATCTTTGATTGCTGTTTTTACAGATTCTTCAACCCCACCAAAGAAAATAGATGATTTCTCTTTATTTGCTTCCAGTCCAGAAACATTACCAAAGTCTGTGACACACTGATAAAGTTTCTTTACTGAGTATAGGTCTCCTTTACCAAAGAGCAATAGATCATCAGCAAAGATTAAATGTGTAATCTTCATTTTGCCACATCTAGGATGATATTTAAACTGCTTATCCTGTTTCAAAAGGTCTAAACTCCTTGATAAATACTCCATACCCAAAATAAAGAGATATGGTGAGAGTGGATCCCCTTGCCTCAAACCCCTTTCCCCCTTAAAATAACCATGCAGTGTACCATTTAGGGAGATAGAGTATTTTGGAGTAGATATACACACCATGATCCAGTCAACTATTCTTTTTGGAAAACCAAGCCCCTTGAGCATTTCGTGTAGAAAATTCCAACTTATGGTATCAAAAGCCTTCTTTATATCAATGTTTAACATGATTCTGGAAGATATATTCCTCCTGCTATAACTTTTCACAAGTTCATGGGCCAATAAAGTGTTACTTGTTATTTGCCTACCCTTAATGAAAGCACTTTGAGCCTCATTAACCAAGTAGCCTAGAACAGATTTTACTCTATTTGCCAAGATTTTTGATATACATTTGTAAAGGCTATTACAGCATGAGATTGGTCTAAAATCTGAAGGTGTTTTAGGGCAATGTACCTTTGGTATAAGAGTAATAGAGGTTGAGTTTAATGTACCTAAAAGCTTCCCTGAAGTGAAGAATTCCTCCACTGCTTGAGTGATTTCATCACCCACAATCGACCAGGCTGATTTGAAAAAACATGCACCATACCCATCAGGACCAGGGGCTCTATTATCTGACATTGAAAAAATGGCTTCTTTAATCTCTTCTTTTGATACAGCTCTTTGCAAGAGATTAGCTTGAGAATCACTTAGACACGGCCCTAATTTGATCACATTCATATCAGGCATTATAGTATCAGTGGCTCTCCCCATTAGGTTTTGATAGTATGACACAAATTCCTTTGCAATTTCATCACTGTCAGTCATCCTTTCCCCAGTGTTCTTATAAAGAGCTAAAACTCTATTGTGGTGCCTGTTACACTCCAAGATTTTGTGAAATAAATCTGTACATCTGTCTCCCTTGATACTCCAAGCAATTCTGGACTTTTGTTGATAGTAGGACAGTTCACAATCCAACAGTTTGTTATATGAAGCTAAGCATTCTTTTTCTCTGTTAATGAGATTTGAACACATAAGGTTGCTTTGAAGATCATTCTGTACTTCTTCTAGAGCTAATTTAGCTCTCTGTACTTGTTCACCTATATTGTTGAAATGTTTCCTGTTTAAATCCTTGAGTGAACTCCTCAGCAGCTTCAATTTTGACCAGACAGAGAACATTTTATATCCCTTAACTTCATTTTGCCATATGCTAGATACTACAGGCAAGAAATTTTCATGTTTAATCCACATATTGAAAAATTTGAAAGGCCTCTTTCCCAATTTAAAGTCATCAAAAATGGATATAAGGCCAGGAGAATGGTCAGATAATCCAGGTAGCAAATATTCTACTTGACTAGAATTATGTTGGTGCAACCATGAATCATTTACCAAGGATCTATCTAGTCTACTCCATACTCTTGAACTAGGGTCCTGTTTGTTACTCCAAGTGAAGAAACACCCAATTGTCTTGAGATGGTTGAGGTGACTGTCACTTATAAAATCTCTGAGATCTTTTATGTCACCCTCAGATAAAGTAGATCCCCAAGCTTTTCATCATTATCAACCATGGCATTGAAATCACCACTGATAAGCCAATGTATGTTACCAATAGCTTGTTGAATATGTTTTAGTTCTGACCACAGCTCCTTCCTTGCTACTGCTTGATTATAGCCATAAATTGTTGAAGTTACACAGTTGATCCTCCCATCCAGAGATTTGACAGAACAAGTTATATGCTGAGCTGAGTGGTTTATCATATGAATATCCAGAAGATTGGGGTCCCAGAGGATCATTATCCTAGCCTTACCAGAATCTCCTACATTAGCTTCCCATCTCCAATTATGTGCTAGTTTCCTGGCAATTACTGGCAACTTATCATCTTTAATCTTTATTTCAATCAGTCCTATAAAAGATAAATGGTATTGCGAGATATAATGTTTCACCAAGTGTTGCTTAGAGGATTTATTTAATCCTCTAACATTCCAAAAAGTCCAGTTCATAATTTTTTCCTCCCCCCTCTATCAACTGTAGAGGGATCTTGAGCTCCTGGGGATAAACCTCTCCTGACTTTGCTATTTTGCACTAGTGACCAAGAATTTATATCCTGAAGACCTTTGTTTCTATTCTCCACATTACCAGAAATCAGGTTTTGTATATGTACCACATGCACAGGATTCCTTGGAGATTTACTACAGGAACCAACAAAATGACTCTGAGTATCCATTTCAGGAGTCTCAGATATGGATACCTGTTTTGTCCCTTGATTTTCCCCAATGTGATCATCCTGAGTATCAGGTATGTGCATTTGATTATCAACTTGTCCAAAATTTCCAGGCTCATGCACAAGCCTTTGTTCCCTTAAAATTCCTGATTCATGAGGGGTAGTGTTGCCTTGAACACAGATTCCAGGAGCTTCTTGTTTATCATGATTCTTACCATTCTGTGCATTTTTAGGAACCCATCTTTGAGTCTTTGGGAATCTTCTGCAGTACATTGTGTCATGCCCTACAATCTTGCATTTATCACACCATTTTGGTTTCAATTCATATATCACCTTTTGCTTTATCATCACACCATTTGGGCCTTGAATTGAGATTTGATCAGGAAGTGGGGCTGGCATATGAGCTTCAACAAGAACCCTAGCATAAGATAGCCTCTGTCTGCTGGCTGTGAGTTTGTCTGTAGCTATAGGTTTTCCAATAAGACTTGCAATTTTGCTAAGACTTTTTGAGTTCCATAGATTGAGTCTAAGAGCAGGAAATTGAATCCACATAGGATAAATATAGTCATTTAATTTCTCAATTTCATCTCCACTCGACCATGCTTTCAATAACAGAGGTCTTGATCCAAAGAACCATGGACCATTAACAAGAATATCATTCATTTCATCCTTATTCTTGAATTTAAACAGGAAAATGCCTGGCTTAATAATGCAAATCTCTGGAATTACCCAACGAGCCCAGACTTTATGAATATAACTTTCCATAGCTTTAATAATAATGCAAATCTCTGGAATTACCCAACGAGCCCAGACTTTATGAATATAACTTTCCATAGCTTTAAATTTTGCATTTAGGCCCAAAACTTGGCCAATTAAGGAAAATTGCCACAATGAATTTCCTTCATTCCATTCTTCCTCATCAAAGATCACAGTATCATTAGATGAAGGTGAAACAAAACTTAGATTCATGTCTGAACCAGATTTTCTATTGTCTGTAAAAAGACTAGCCCAACTCTTAACTGGATTTTGGCATTCAGTCTTGGATTCCAATTGAGGATCATCAACTAAATTTGATTTAGAAGATTTCAAAACCAAATTCTCCATTGGAGATTTATTAACTGGACTATCATCAACTAAATTTGATTTAGAAGATTTCAAAACCAAATTCTCCATTGGAGATTTATTAACTGGACTATGATTTGCAATTTTAACTCCATCCAGGTCTGATTCAAGAAAAGAAGCAGAATCCAGATCATCAAGAATTCCTTTTGCATTCAGTTCAGAAGAGCTAGACTTGAGATCAGATTTATCATCAAGATTCCTATCATATTGCGGCACATGATGTCGAGACAAGGAATTTTCCACAGATTCAACCTCTACAGCCCAAGAATCTTTGGAATGAGTATGACTGGACTCACCTTGAAGGTAACGAGATTTAAAGCCATTGAATCTTGAGGAGGATGGTGTTGGACAACGGAGAATGTGGGGGCCACAATTTGGAGAATTGTAGGCTTCACGTGGGTGTAGCCAGCAAACCGCGTGAGCATGGACGAACCAAAAGCGCGTGAGCGGATATTAAATTGGGAAAACTTGTTTTTTGAACGTGTTACGAGATACGGCCCACCCGAGTTTGTCAGTCTATAAAATCCTATCCTAGGGTTTCGTGTGATGGTGATCAAGCAGAGGGGAAGATTTGGGCAGCATTTTTTTTTCTTTGTAAACCACAGTGCAGGGCTTTGAAAAGCAGCGTGCAGAAGGGGTTCGCGCAGGAGCAAAGGACGACTGGCAAAGGCGCAGTACTAAAAGCAGAGAGCAGTTGCAAAGAGAGAGAAAAAACAGCAGCTTTCTTTAGCTTCGTGCAAATAGGCTTTTGTGCTTTTGAGAGAGATATTTGTGTGAGGGTTTAGATTAAGTGATTGTAAACCCTAGTTGTATTATCTCCTCTCTAATAGTAGATCTCCCCCCTCATTGCCCCGTGGACGTAGGCAGTTTGCCGAACCACGTAAATTTTGGTTGTTTGAGTTTGTGGCCATTGTAATAGTTTTTAGGATCCCTCGACGCGCAGTCCTAGAGCTGACGAGAGGAAGAGCTAATATCTCACTTTGATGAGATATTAGGCTTTCAGATTCTTGTTCCCTTTGAGAAACAAGAATTCTTATCGATCTTTCTCTCTTATTGTGCACCAGAAACTCTGCCGAAATTTCCGCTGCGCACAACAAGTGGTATCAGAGCCCAGATTCCAGATCTAGGGTTTGGTTGGAGGAGTAGATCAATTTGGAGGCCCGTTTAGGACTTCGTTGGTGATAAAGGTGGGATCTTTTGGTAAAGACTCTATCTTTCAGTTTTGGATCTATTCTTTGTTCGTTGGTGCGTAAGATGTCGGGGAAAGAAGGTGCTTCGGGAGTCGAGGGTGGTTCTTCTGGCGCGAAGACCATTCAGAGTTTGAATATCCACTCTATGAAGATAGATGTGGAGAAATTTAATGGCACAAACAACTTTGGATTATGGAGATGCGAGGTTTTGGATGCGCTGAACGCGCAGAATTTGGAGGATACATTGGAGTTAGATGGCAAGCCAGATGAGATTGAAGAGAAGGTTTGGAAGAAGATGAATCGAACGGCGTGTGGTGTGATTAGGTCTTGTTTGACTCAAGATCTAAAATATGATGTGATGAATGAGACTTCTGCGAAGAAGATTTGGGAGATTCTCGAAAGCAAGTATTTGACCAAGAGTGTGGAAAATCGCTTGCATTTGAAGAGGAGACTTTATCGTTTCCAGTTGAAGAAGGGAACCTCCATTAGAGATCACATGAACCACTACACAAAGCTTCTTGCGGATTTGGCGAATGTGGATGTCAAGATTGAAGATGAGGACAAGGCGTTGCTGTTGTTGAGTTCCTTGCCCGACGAGGAATATGAGACCTTCGTTCTTACTCTGATTAATGGGAAGGCATCACTTTCGTATAGTGAGGTCACTGCTGCATTGGTGAATTATCAGCTTCGGAAGAAGGATAAGGAGAATTCGACTGAGTCGGTAGCAGAGGCGTTGGTCGCAAGAGGGAAGGGTCCAAACCGAAAGAATTGGAAGTCACAGTCTAGAGTAGGAAAAGATCAGTGTGCTTGGTGCAAGGAGACTGGTCATTGGAAGAAAGACTGCCCAAAGCTCGACGAATGGATGAAGAATAAGCAGAAGGGAAAAGGGAAGCAACCATCATCAGAAGCAAACATCGTATCGGATGGTAATAATTCTGACTCTTCTATTTATTCGCTTTCTATCAGTCCTACAGATAGCTATTCGGAGGAATCTGAATGGATGTTGGATAGTGGTGCGACCTATCATGTGTGCCCTAGAAGGGAATGGTTCTTCAGTTTTGAGAAGCTGGTGGATAGTGGTGTGGTGTACATGGCTGATAACCGTGCATGCCAGATCCTTGGGATAGGAAGAATTCGCATAAAGATGTTTGACGGGACTGTTAGAGAGTTAAACGATGTGAGATATGTTCCTTCTTTGAGGAAGAACTTGATCTCGATTGGAGCTTTGGTTGGAGCGGGTCTGAAGGTTCATGTTGAGGACATGGTTCTCGAGATTGCGAGAGACTCTCGTATTTTGATGAAGGGCATCAGGAGAAATAACCTGTATTACTTGACTGGAGGTATAGTGGCAGGTGAAGAGCTGATGACTTCTGTTAATTCGACTAGACTGCGACATTTAGGGCTTGGCCATTCCAGTATTGATTCCTCGCATAGATTGAAAGAGGGTGCAAAGACCTGCAGTTTGAAGTCCAGTGAACATGTTGATGTGAGCAAGAAGATCGAGGTGAAGTTTGGCACCTCTATTCACCGTGCTAAGGGTCGTTCTAGAGGAGTTCACATGGATGTTTGGGGGCCTTCCAAGGGGGCATCATTGGGAGGTAATAGGCGTTTGGTTTCCTTTGTTGGTGACTGTTCTAGGTGTGTTTGGGTTGCAACCAAATCCCCATTGGAGAAAGTCCTAGTAGTCTCTAACAGATTGAAGAAGTGTGAGATAGACAGAGAGGTGAAGGTACTCTATTCTGGTTTTGGTAGGAGGTACAAGATGGACCTATTTCTGTATTGGAGCCGAGCTCACGGCATTGCAAGACACTTCGTTGGAAAGGAAATCTTGGGGCAACTAGATAGGGTGACAAATTTGGAAAACCGTGCCTTTCTGGAGGAGGATCGGTGTTTGTGGTCGAGCAATGGTTTGCAGAAGAGTTTCTGGACAGAGGCTTCGACATATTTGGGTCATCCTATTAAAGAGTTGTCAACTACTGTGATTGGAGGTAAAACTCCATTAGAAGATAGGTCTGGTAGTGTCACTTTGGTTGAGGCTTCGATGAGGGAGCTAATTGACTCTCAGCAGGTGAAGAGTTTTGGACAGACCTTAGAGGTATCGCAGCGGGTGGAGACTGATGCTACTCCACATTGGGTGGGGATTTTCCCACATACTCCAGGTCATTCTGTATTGATTGGGATTCTAGCTGAGGTGACACAGCGTGGAAGTCATTTGGATTCGGATGCAGATGATGAGTTGGGTTTTGACTCGAGTGTAGCTGATAGATGCAGTTTGGATATGACCATTGGTTCACCTCAGGTGGAGGTGTTTGAGGCCATTGGAGGTGTTATCAGCCGCAGACTTGATGATATTAGAGAGGGGTTGCGAACTCTTCTATTGGTTTGAGGTCGTTCGCGGCCATTTGGGTGAACTACGTTCGGCTTGATTTCTTGGGCAAGAGGATACGTAGGCAGTCTTTATGATGCAGCCGGGTTTGGATTGGATGGGGGTGAGATCGATTTGGTGAGTTTATACCGACATTTGGAGAGTGTTCGCATTCTCATTTGGGTTCTCGACTTGTTATGGATTGAGTCCGTTGTCGTGAATTGTTTCACTTCGTACTGGACACAACAAGTGGGATATTTGGATGCTTTGGTGTCGGCTCAGTTTTGGAAAAACTTCGTCGAGGTGGAGAATTGTTGGACAACGGAGAATGTGGGGGCCACAATTTGGAGAATTGTAGGCTTCACGTGGGTGTAGCCAGCAAACCGCGTGAGCATGGACGAACCAAAAGCGCGTGAGCGGATATTAAATTGGGAAAACTTGTTTTTTGAACGTGTTACGAGATACGGCCCACCCGAGTTTGTCAGTCTATAAAATCCTATCCTAGGGTTTCGTGTGATGGTGATCAAGCAGAGGGGAAGATTTGGGCAGCATTTTTTTTTCTTTGTAAACCACAGTGCAGGGCTTTGAAAAGCAGCGTGCAGAAGGGGTTCGCGCAGGAGCAAAGGACGACTGGCAAAGGCGCAGTGCAGGGCTTTGAAAAGCAGCGTGCAGAAGGGGTTCGCGCAGGAGCAAAGGACGACTGGCAAAGGCGCAATACTAAAAGCAGAGAGCAGTTGCAAAGAGAGAGAGAAAACAGCAGCTTTCTTTAGTTTCGTGCAAATAGGCTTTTGTGCTTTTGAGAGAGATATTTGTGTGAGGGTTTAGATTAAGTGATTGTAAACCCTAGTTGTATTATCTCCTCTCTAATAGTAGATCTCCCCCCTCATTGCCCCGTGGACGTAGGCAGTTTGCCGGATCCCTCGACGCGCAGTCCTAGAGCTGACGAGAGGAAGAGCTAATATCTCACTTTGATGAGATATTAGGCTTTCAGATTCTTGTTCCCTTTGAGAAACAAAAATTCTTATCGATCTTTCTCTCTTATTGTGCACCAGAAACTCTGCCGAAATTTCCGCTGCGCACAACAGATGGAACTGGATCAGTAGCAGAGCTCAACAAATCCGACAAAAGAACCTTCTTCTTCTCTCCAATTGGACCCGTAGATCCCATCAGATCCAAATCTGATTCTTCATCATCTTCAAAGAAAACAGCATCTAGAGATTTTACAGGTGAAGAAGAACTTGGATTAGAAGCTCTCAATCCAATTTCAAGAAAAACAGCATCTAGAGATTTTACAGGTGAAGAAGAACTTGGATTAGAAGCTCTCAATCCAATTTCAAGAATTTTTTTCCCATTTTTCACTTTTTTCCTTGCCATTTCAAAGCGGGAGGTGCACGTTAGCGCGATGAAAATCGCCCTCTAACCTGCGCCTTCTTTACATAATTACTTGCTTAATTCAAATTTAACTCTAGTAAAAAGAAAAACACCTAATTTGATCCTCACTCTTTTGAGCCCTAATTTGGAGAGGGAAAATAATTCATTTTTAGCTTAAATGAATGGGCACAACTAATTGCCACATAAGAAGCTGCATCAGTATCATGTGACGAGTCACTTGACATTTAGTTACTGAAAATTTTGCTCTGGCAGAAAAATAGACCTTGTCATCGTTGTGCCCCACATTATATACCTTATTGTCATTGGATGAAGAAAACATATCAAGTTGGTTCTTATTGTCAATAAAATATACCTATTTGATAATTTAGCCTATATCTTAATAATATTTAAAAACGGAATAAATTTGTGAATTACCAATAGTTACCATATAATTATTGAGACTATTTATGCTCATATTTTATTTTCTACCTAAAATTTATATCAAATTAAGTCATAATAAAATGATGATTCATAGATGATTCACACAGCAAAAATGCGATCTATGACCCTCTCGGTTGTAAGTTTCAGACTTTCAGTACAATATAAAAAATACCTGTTCGATGAAGGTATTTTGGGACAACAAAAATGCGATCTATGGCCATAAGAGCTATTTTATACTGCACGTGCTACTCTGATTGTTAAAATAATCGTAAAGAAAATCTCTATTCATTCTATCAGATTATTTTAGTATTAATTTTATAATATAGATCAAAAATGGATTCTACACTTAATTTTAAAATTGCAAATGTGGAAGTAAGACAATATTATGGAGCCTACCTCATAAATTGTCCGCAATTTTAGGCGTTCTTTTTTGGGACAAAGTTGCAGGGCCCCACGACTGATTCCTCATGAATATTTTACGAAGCAAATGAACGGATGCAATTGATTCAAAAGTTAATATTATTTTTTGTAAACAAAAGTTGTTCTCAGTGCGCCGTAGCACGTTCCGGCATGCTTGGGGTCAATAATGTTCACTAGTGGCCATAAATAATTACGAACTAGATGACAACAAATGCATTGGGATCGTTGGTATTTAATATGCTAATTGTTATAGTACTTGCTAGAATAAAACAGCAAAAAAACAAAAAAGTCTTATACACATATTGTTCCTACAAATTTGAGACAGCTATAAGATGAATTTTATATTTAGCGGTGTTTAATAAGAACTTTAGTTGTAAAATATGTTACATTCATATTTAAAGATCTTGAACTTTGACAGTACTATGGCATGCTTATCTTTGATCGTATTCTTACAAATTAATTTTTCGTTGGTAGTCATATCCCCAAATAAGAATACTTGCAGAGTCGTGCCACCATATAGAGAAAAGAAAAATATCAATTTTATTTTTTTACTTACACTATGGTAACCAAGTATCATGTGCATATTTTTTTTATCCATTATAGTGATTTTTCTCATCTTATCTAGTTTATTATATCTCGCAATGTAGTTGATCAATGATTTTACTTTAGTTTCTATTGTAAGATTATTTACATGAAATTTTAAATTAAGTTTATGATTCCTTCAGTATTTTTAGAATAAAGTATGAAAATTTATAAGTACTTACTAATTTTTCTTGTACTTTTCATGAATAATATATTTTTTAATTAGGACATAATTGTTCAATATGTTCTTCAATGAGAACTCGGTTAGTGCTTCTTTGCTTGATATGCTTTTTATCAATGTCAATTCAGGTGATTCATGAATGTTTCTGATCGGTTAGTGCTTCTTTGCTTGATATGCTTTTTATCAATGTCAATTCAGGTGATTCATGAATGTTTCTGAATTTTGAGTTTATTTCCTTCACTTCTCCATTTGAAATGAAAACAACTTAGTTCTTTTAAAGGATATTTCTGAACTTTATGATAGTTTCTCCATACATAACTCATTGTATTTTTTTTTACTTTATAAATAAATATTATCAACATTAGAATGATAGTTTCTCCATACATAACTCATTGTATTTTTTTTTACTTTATAAATAAATATTATCAACATTAGAGATAAATGTTTATACATTATAATCAATTAATAAATAAATATTATCAACATTAGAGATAAATGTTTATACATTATAATCAATTAATGCTAACATATTATATATTAATGTAATAATATCAAGCATTTCCTCTTTTCTTTGCCAAATTTCAGCCTTTTTGTTATTTAAACTTTTCAGGATGTGTTTTGTAATTTTTTAACTTTGATAGTATTTTATGAAAATTTTAAATTTTAAGTTGGGTGCTTATAATTTTCATGTTTCATGTATTGGTGATAAGTTTTTAAATGTTAGAATATTTCTCGTAACTTTGAAAATTTGAAGGTATTTTTATAATTACTAAAATTTTGGGTTGTTTTTTAAAAATTTTAAATTTTTAGCAATATGCTGGTAATTTCTAAATTTAATATGTGCTAGTTATAAGTTTCAAAATTTTAGAATTTTTTAATAAAATTTTACTTTTGAGAGAGTTTTTGTAATTTTTGTACCTTTGAGGTTATTTTCTTTTTACTAATTTTAAATTTCTATGTGCCTAATGGTAATCCCTGGAATTCATCTATGTTGCTTCTAAGTTTTAAAATCTTTGAATTTTAGAATATTTTTTTTGTAATTTTAACATGCTAAATGGTACTTATATACCCCATTGTTTTGCTATTGTAGTAGTTATATACCCTAAGTTACAAAACATAGCAAAAAAATACCCTGAGTTGATAATTGTTTAGATTTAGCTAACGATGTTAAAAAATACATGAAAGAACAATAATGCCCCTCCTTAAGAATTAACCCGCCCCCAATAGTGAAAGCTCTTATTTTCTATAGTTACCCATATTAAAGAGGAATAAGAAGTTGGAGACCACGAAAAGAAGATGATGATGATGAAAATAACCTAATTTCCAGGGGGGGGTTGAGGGTAGGTAATATAATAAATAAGGGTAAGAAATATTCAAGTTTATTATAGGTCCAGCACATGGGAATATTCTAGAGAATATTCTCACATCTAGTTAACAGAAGGTACCAACTTGCAAATTTTTGCCAACTCACGGTATTTTTTGCTATATTTTATAACTTAGGGTATATAACTGCTTCAAGAGCGAAACACATAGGGTATATAAATGTAATTTAGCCTTTAAACTTTTGAGGTTGTTTCTATAATTTTAAAAATGTTGAGGGTGTTAATTATAAGTTTTAAATTTTTAGATATCATGTTTGTTTTTTAGTTTTAAAAAGACAAGGTGTTTCATGTAATTTTAAACTTTTAACGCTATTATATACAATTTTTGAAACTTTTAGGTTTTTTTATAATACTTCATGTATTATAATATGTTATCTACGTATAATTTCTTAATCTTATTGTTTCCATATTTTTGAGTTATAGATAGTTCATACGGAGTTAATATAAGATATAATTAGTATTTGGATAGATTAAGATTTAATTGAAATATTCAAAATAACTATTTTTAAATTGTTGACCTATAGATGATAGTTCACGTGGAATTAGATAGGATATGATTAAAATTAGAATAGATTAGGATAACAATGTAATATTAAAAAAACTAAGAGTAATACTGACTATATAAAGATTTTTCCGAACTCGTGCTTTTAAAGGGAGTATGATATGATATAATAACTACGAGCAATTTTAGGGTGAAGCACGAGAGAAAGAGACAGTAGAAAGAGTTATGATTGAATCCCAAGTTGGGAAACACGTGGGCATGAGCTGGCATTGGTAAGGGATCCAATGACACTCATTGTGGACGGAACAATTGTAAGGATCAAAATGGGTCCGATCTTGTTTGTTCCTCTCAAAACAATTTTTAATCAACGGTCGATATAGATGGGGCAAGTTAATTTGCAGGTACTAATTTTGTTTGAGCATGAAGCGTGGCCCCCTTCATCGTATGCGTGAATAATTTGAAGTTTACTACTTTTGATTTCTTTACATGTTTACAATCACATGGAAGCGAAGCACTTGCAACTGTCCCTACGAGTTCAATGCGCCTAAATTTTTGCTCTTCGCTGTGCATCTCCGTCAAAATTGTATCGTGTAACATTCTCTGTATTCTACTCTTTCATTTTTTATAATTTATTCAGGGCTAGTTTGGTTGATTTTCTAAAATCAAAGAAAATAAAATAGGACAAGGAAACCATTAAAAGTTGATTTCCATCTATTTTCTAAAATAAGTCATGAAATGAGTTTTCTTAAAAACGAGTCACATCATCTAATAATATGGTGACAATATCTCATCTCATATTTTTTCTTAATTTTAAGAAGTGAACCAAACATAAGAAAAGAACATATTATAAGAAATATGTTTCTTATAATTGAATTTTTTTTTTAGCCAACCTAATTTTCCACATAAGAACAAGTTGATGATCACAGATAGATTACGTGTTTGATATCTAAATACTGTACTTCATCAAGTCATGTCCCAACCTAATTTTTTTTCAAACAAGTGCATTAATACAATATTAGTTGATTGGAGAACAAAAATATCATTTGGTTAAGAAATTAGTCCTAACATTTGTTATTTCTCAAGAAAAGAACACAGATCTAGACTAACTTATGTTAGTTTAAAAGTTAGTCTGTGTGAAAACAAGCATTAAATGATATTAAAATAGTTAAGGAGGGATTGAGTAACCCCAACAAAGGGGACTAATTGAAACCCATCCCATCCCTCACCTTTACAATCCGGGTAGAGGGGATTAAGATTTTGCAACAAGATTGTCCCTGTTCTTTTCTATTTTTCGCAAAATCAATTTACTTTTTCTAATATTTCTATTTTTTCCTGCAATTTCCTTATTTGTAGGAGGAAAATAAATAAATAGTATCTTTTTTTAGTAAGATTACAAATTGAGGCTTAGCTTTTGTTTGAGTTTGAATGATGAAACGTTTGATGTATAAACATGTTCGTAGTTTTGATTCCAAGTTTCTAGGTTAGTAGAGTGATGAGTGTGCATGTAAATTAACAATTATACATATTATGAGCCATTATAATCCAATGATTGCTTGCAATCATTCACCAACTAGTTTTTTTTTTCCTTTCTAATTTTCCACATAAGAACAAGCTGATGACCATAGATGGATTACGTATTTGATTTGATATCTAAATACTGTACTTCATCAAGTCATGTCCAAACCTAGAATTTCTTTTCAAACAAACGCATCAACACAATATTAGTTGGCTGGAGAGCAGAAACATCACTTGGTTAAGATATTAGTCCTAACATTTGTTATTTCTCAAGAAACAAACACAGATCTAGACTAAATTATGTTAATTTAAAAGTCAGTCTGTGTGAAAACAAGCATTGGATGACATTAATATACAATGCATCCTTCAAATTGCCCAAAGACCCAAAATGCCAACACATCACCCACCAATAGTTACACCTTTGTCTCCCCCCAAAGTAATATATATGACCACAAAACTCACACATAAGCTGTAAACAAACCAAAATCTTGCGGCTAGTAAAAATGCATTGATCGCGGATGTATCCCTTCCATTAAAATGATCACCAAATAAATACAAGAGGGACCAAGCCCACGTTTACATCACACAATCACCCTCCCTTAGATAATATCAATAGACTATATATCGGCAAATTGAACCAATCTAATCAACCATACATCATAACAACTAGGGACCCAGCACTGGAAGAAGAAGAAGAAGAAAAAAAAAAAAACCCAAACATGCATGGAGTACATAATCTACGATTCGAAAAGACTCTCCAGGCCAGGGAAGGGGTGGTTATGAGTCGAATTCATGTGCCAAATCTTCACACTTTTGGCTGTCACCTTCGCATCCGTCGCGTTGTTGAAGAGGAAGAGCCGTGCCTTATTGTATATCGCCTCCGTTGGATACACCCGCGACGTCGCTACCGCTCTCCCTCTTTGAGCAAAGCTCTCAATAATGGAGTGGTCCACCTAAATTGATTATTAATTAAGAGGGCGATTAGCATACTTCATTGGATACGTTACATATTTATAGTTTTGTCTAAAGGTAATTATATATGCTACAATCATGAGTGATCAGGGTTTTTGTTTCAAACCGATATAAAAATGTCATCGACTACGCACTTTCGGGCATATTGCCGTAAAGAAGTCATTATCTTCTGTTAGCGTGTCCTACTAATTGGAATGTTGATCGACGCAATTTCTTGAATAATTTATTGCCTACTAATTGGAATGTTGACGCGATTTCTTGACTAATTTATTTGATAGAACGGTCATTATTATTTTTTTTCTTGAATAATCCATGGTACTTTTTGTGAAATCTAATTACCCTTAGTTTAATTAACATTATTGATAATGAAATGTAGCCTACCAATATTCTTAGCGACCAAGTTTCACCATGGAGCACGGGAACCACGCTCCCTACAACTCTCTTGACGATGTCCCCAGCCTTCGACGATCTACATCACACAACCAAATCGCAAATAAAAAGTTAGCTCAAATCTCAAGCCCGAATCCTGAGAACAGCGTCACGTACGCGAGCCTAGTTTGCTTAATTACCTCAACTCATCTTGGCAAAAGTGAGTGCGGAGGTCGCCGTCAGTTCCTCGGCTAACATAGAAGTAGGTCGCGGTTTGCTCGGTCAGATCCTGGTTAGCGAGCACGAGGAGGCCGAAGGGTCCGAGGAGGCCGCGGTTGGCAGCGCCGCCGCTTGTGCTGCAGTTGTAGGTGACGTCTGCCTCGATCGCACCGTCGAGCGCCGAATTATCGAGCTCAAACTCGGCTTCTATGTCCAACTACAGAACAATCAAACACGTGTGAAAACTTACGGTTGGAGTACAACAAAATAGGGTTTTGACGTTCATATTAGCAAGACTGCACATAAAACGGTTGTTAATTACCTGCGAGGCGGCGCCAATATCAAGCTGAACAGAGGAACCGGCCCCAATTTTAATATCATTGAAGATATTACCGTCCGTTCTAAGATCCTCCACCTCCTCAACCGGCCATATGATCAAATTACTTTGCGTTTTTGTGTCGAGCAATATCGTCCTCGGTATATTCTGATTATAAATAAAAATAATAATCCTTCGTCAGAGAATTTTTTTTATATTTTTTAATCAAAAGCTTAAGCTATTAATTAATTAGAACCCCGTAACAAAAAAAAAATTACCTGCAGCGTAGCCCATCCTTTCATTTTATCGTCATCCTTACTGTCGACCTCCCCAACATACCCCCACAGAATCCTCCTCTGCTTCTCCGTGTCGAAGAACGTCTTCGACGCGTAAAACTTCCCCCAGTCGTACCTCAACCCGACGCCGACGTCAATCGACGGGTCGTCGGGAGTCCACTTAAACGAGTCCAGATCGAAAGTCCCGATGGCATAGTAATCGTGCCTTTCTTCATCCATGCTGGCCTTAAGCACGTGCTTAATCCCGCCGTTGGAGAGGTCGACGGACATTTCGAGGCCCCGGTTGGATAACGGGCCGCCGGTGGCGACGGGGTAGAGGTCGACGCATTCGAACATGCCGACGGACTGGGTGGAGGTGTGGAGGAGGCTGGGGAGGAGGGTGAAGTTGAAGAAGTCCTTGGTCTTGTAGAGGAGTACGATCCCGTGGTGGTTTGAGTCCTTGGAGCCGATCAGAACGTGCCAGTTTGAGTCCGTTTCGTTGTACCTGTAGCCGGATCCAAATTTGTTTCATAAGGACCGAGTACAATTAATTAATTAATTAATGTGATATTTTATGGAAATTTGTAGCATATCGAATGTTTCGTTGATAATAAAGTTTTTGACTTTTGAGCTAATATCGTCTTTGAAGTTTTACCCCGCTGCGTTAGACTATACCTGGGCATCGGAGTAGCAGATATGATCACGGGCTTCCATTTTCATATTCCAGCGAGTTCTCGATCGTCTGTTAATAATCTCCTTTCACATGTACGTATATCTATATTTTTTTAAGGAAATTATAATCTAACTTAAAGTTACTTTTGTCCTGCAGGATCTGGACTTAGATTATTACCATGATGGGCATCTTAGACCCCATTTTCAGCTCTGAATGCCACGCATCATTCCAGGACATTATTTATGAATTTTTTTAAACCGCAAAAGTTTTCTTGCTCTTGTTGGCACTACTAGCGTAAGCTTGACATCATTATTCCCTGTTGCTTTACGTCATTGACCGAGATCTCGAATCCCCCGGATCCAAGAAAGTGGTCCATTTTCACTCACAGGCCATTATTAAAATACCGTTATTATATATATATAAGTAATAAAAACTAATATAATACTTTTTTTTCTTTAATAATGAACCGGCGCGGGAATGATGGAATCCGAGAACGCGGGAGCTATATTGGAACCTCCCAACCGTCCGGAAACGGGTCTGGCCGCCAGCCAGTCGGTAAAAGTTGATATGATACTTACCAGATAGGAAAGGGGTCTCTGAAGTCGCTGGTACCGATCCCGGGCGGGGGGACCAGGATCGGATTGACGCTGGACTTCTTCCACTTGAGCAGCAGCGGG